ACACACACACACACACACACACACACACACACACACACACACACACAAGTTCTTTTGGATCTCACTTACCTGATGCTCTAGCACTGGGGTTTGCCGAAGGCAGGCCAGACTCCGGGGGTGTAAGTTTGGGAATCCAGTCTATCGGGGTAGTTTTTCCTCCTGGAAAAAGGCGGGAATGGTAACCAGGCAGGCACCCCCCCTCTCTTCTCAGCTAGAGGATGCTCCAGGAGGAGGCTGGGGCGGGGGCCGGAGGATGGGAGAGATGGTAGGAACTGGGTGGGAGAGGCGAGGGGGGTAGTCTGGGCAAAGGTACTAAGAAGTCAGAGGATGAAGCCGGTGTGATTACAGGAAATAACCAAATGAGTGTTCTGGGTGTGGTTGGGCCCTGGCAGAAGGAGGAGGAGGCACAGAATGAAAATCACCTGGAGAGGCCCTAGGGAAGGGTCTCAAGGCACTTCGAGCTTCTGGCAATGAGGTTGGTGTGGTGGTTAAGGGCTCTGATTGCGGTGAAACCTAGATCGGGAGGGCGGAGGGGCACTACTAAGGAAATTTCGTGTAGTAACACGAAGGTGGGGAAACAGAGGGCTTCTCAAAGGCTCCTCAGGAATCGTCTTAGGAGAGGCGCACTGTGTAGAGGTCTGAGAGGACGTGGTAGGAGGCTGCACGACCAGCTGCACCAGTAGGGATGAGAGGAAGTCTGGTCAGGGTGTGCAGAGGCTCCCGAGAAGCCTAAGAGTTCGGATTGAAGCTTTAGTCATTCCCACCCCTTCCTGCTGAGCCGGTAACCTGCCCGCCTTTGATAAACAACAGGGCAAGACTCGGGTGGCTGCAATAGCACCTAGGGCCTCCCCGCCCACCCTCTTTAGGCTGCCAAAGGTCTTCCCTCCCACTCTCTTTGGCTGCTTCTGAGCTATTCCCGTAACCCCACCTAAACTCTACTTCCCCAGTCTTCACTCCATTCACATCCCCAGCTCTGTTTCACGACTGGCCCTAATTCTTGCCCTGCACCGAGGCACCAGTCCCCCGAGACATAAATTCATCCTCTCTCTCTAGACATCCATCCTCTCGCCCCCGGTACCTGACACCTTTAAAATAGGCTCACGGGCACACTGCCCTCCCACCTGCCCACAATCGCCTCAAACAAAAACTTAGGACACCCTCCCCCATTCCTTATAGCTGTATCTCAGCCTTTCCCTCATCCCTCACCAAGGTTTAGGACCCTCCTCAAAACACTGGTGCCCTTTTAGATGCAGCAGTCCCCAGATGAGAAGCACAGAGGCACACTACTCACTTCCCCAGTCACAATCTCTCCCCCTTCCCATATAACGCACGGGCATGCACAGATAGGCACACAGTCAAAGCTGAGCCACCTGACTCAGCCAAGATCCCTTCTTCCTTTTTCTCTTCTGTAAGGTTAATTGGGTCCCCACCTGTAAAGTAGACCCCACCTGTAAAATTGGAGGAATACCCCAAGGGACAGGGAGCCTCGTCCCCACACCCATTATGCAGGGGATTGGTTGGGTACCCTCAACATGAAGAAAGACCCACCTCTGAGGGACTGCTGCAGTTCAGGAAGTTTCTGAAATGCAGAAGTCCCTGCCCACCTACCTTGGCCCTGTCTTCTCTCCTCGAGAATCTCCTTTCCTCTCAATGGGAGTTCTAGGAAGAACTTCAAATGGAAACCATGCCTCTTTTCCCTTTAAGATTCTTCTACTCTCTTTCTCTATGTTAGGATACCTTTACCACCTGAAATATAAAGATGATTACACCAGTATGAGCCCAAGGAATTTGCCCACTCTGCAACTTCTAGCAGCAGCAGAAGGATTAGGCTGGCATTTGGGGAAGGGTTGGCATTGGAGAGAGAGAGACAGACAGACAGAGACAGAGACAGAGAGAGAGGACTGCCAGAAAGGAAGTTCATGTTTGATTGACTGGGTTCAGATAGGTGAAATACGAAATGGCCATTTAACCAAGTCACCAAATTTTATGACTTGATGAGGCCTACTAGTAGTTTCCCAGCAGATTAAACCTGGCTAAAAGTTAAACTCTGAACTCTGTTTAAATCATTTTGTTGTTGCATGCTGTGACTATTAGGTGCATTGTTGCTTTCTGTGGGGGAATAAAATTACCTGCCCTATACTTTATTCATTTGAAACCCTGGATAACTTTTTATTCCTACTCCTTTTTGGAGAAACCTAAGACCAGTGTAAAAAATCAAATTATCCCTGGAATAACTGGGAATGGGAGTGATGAGCCAATGAATGTGAGAATGGAGAAACCAACTTCCCCTACTGAGAAGTGAAGCTTCCCCAGAGATGAATCCTAAAGAAACTTCATGGCAGGTAAAGACAAGAATTGGTACAGATTGCCAGCCCCCTTTGCTTCAGCTGAATGGTGCCTGGCTAGCCACTGTGATAGAAGGATCAAATATACTATGGAAATTCCCACACATCTGGCTGTGGTTTCTCACAAGGTCTGAACTCCTACTTTGGTTTATAATTTTACCCATCACTGGCTGAAGAGAGCTTCATCTCCCTCCTACACCTAACCAACATCATAGGCGTAGTGAGATGGAACATAGTAATTTTTCTTTATACTCTGAGTGCCTTATCAGAGGATTCAGGATCAGAAGCTATTTTCTCCCTTGGTTGGCTATTTGCTATCTGCCCCAGAATCTCTGTCCAGCATCCTGATGAGCCTTTTCAACCTTTCTCCTCTGTCTAGTGTCTAGATTGTCTCTCTGATTCATCCAGTGTCCTGGAAGTTGATACTTCTGACTTCCAGACATCCAAAAGAAAGAGGAGTCCTTAACCCAACAGGCAGATTGATCCCTACAGGCCCACTTTACAAGGGTTTATTCTCTCCATGGTGTGGCTCCCTGCAGTGTATCACCCCTTTCTGCTGAGCCAGTAACATGCCCACTTGCAGTCAATAACAGGGTGGAACCCAGGTGGTTGCAATAGCACCCACACACTCCCCACCCACCCTCTTTAGGCCACAGCAGCTAAATAACCAGTGGGTGAAAGAACACAACATAGAAACAATAACTGTATGAGCTACAATACTTATGATGAAACAACACGCTAAAATTTTGAGATGCATCTAAAGCAGTCCTCAGGGGAAAAATTAAATACATAAAAATATACATTAACAATCCAAGACAATTCCAAAAGACTCATAATGTAAAATGCTATCCACAGCCAGAGAAAGAACTATGGAGTCTGGATGCAGATCGAGGCATATTATTTTCACTTTTTTGTGGCATTTCTCTTTTGTTCTGTTTCTTCTTTCACAATATGACTAATGTGGAAATATGTTTCCATGATTGCACATGTATAACCTATACCACATTGTTTGCCATCTTGGGGAGGGGAGAGGGAAGGGGGAGAGGGAGAAAAATTTGGAACTCAAAATCTTATAAAAATGAATGTTGAAAACTCTTTACATGTAATTGGAAAAAGTAGTATTTACAAAAATACGAAGTAGAAAAGGATATGGTTAATTAATGTTGTATGCACTTTAAAAACTAGAAACCTAACAAACCAAAATGATCACAAAAGAAGAAATATTAAAAATTAGAAATTGGAAAATTAAAAATAGGTAAATTGGAAACCAACAAGACTATAAAAATTATAAACAAAACTAAAACTCAATCCTTTCCTTCTCTACCCCTGCCCAAACCTCATGGAACAACCATTCCCTGGTTTTCCAAAGTAACCTTATAAAACTCTATGTCCTTTCTTCTGGCTGGCATTTAACTCTCTGTCACTCACTCATTTTAATCTCTTCCTCCTTCTCTTTTTTTCTTCTGTTAGATGCCTTCTGAAGTTAGTTCAGGATACAGCTTTCTGAACTGACTCTCTTCCATTTAGCTGACTGCACCATTTGCTCCCTCAGCGATCTGGGGTTTCCTAAATGTCAATTTCTCTAACTATAAAATGAATGAGAAAAGTCCTTGTGTAACTTTACTCAAAGGGTTATCATGAAGAATGTGCTTTAGGAATGTGATGTTATGTGCCTTGTACCCATCTTCTATCTTTCCTTCATTTGTTCTTCCAGATCTTCAGTTCTGTGGTTGGAAAGGAACATGAGAGAAACATTTACTCCTTGTCTCAAGATCATAGACTAAAAGAAAATGAGTCACTTATTAATACTAATTCAAGTATTTTGAATAAAACACTAGCGGAAAGATTATCACAATATCTCCAAAGAATTATTCATTGAAATCAATTTGAATTTACTCCAAGAATGGAAGGATGGTTCAACATTAGGAAAACAACTAACATATTTAACTATCCCAAACTACATGACTTTATCAATAGATCTAGAAAATAGATATTGATGAAGTACAATGTTCACTTATGCTAAAAATCCTGCAAAACATAGACATAAGCCTTTTAAAATAAGATTAAAAGTATATATCAAAAACCAAAAACTAGTATTCCCATGTTCAATAGGAAAACATTAGGATCTTTAAAAGTAAGTGTAGAAATAAAAAACGAGGATGTCACTTTTCTCTATAATTATTTGACCAAGTCTGAGAAATGCTAATGTTTACATTAAGATATAATTGGGGGAAAGAAACAAAATAAAAATATAGGCAAAAGGGAGATAATATGATCCTGATTCACTAATGACAATGGCTTACTTAGAAAATTCTAGGGAATTAGCAAGGATACTAATTATGACAATAGCTTTAGTAAAGTAGCAGAACATAAAATAAACCTTTAAAATTAATAGTATTTATGTATAGCAATAATAAAATCCAGGAGGCCATTATGGAAAGGGAAATCCCATTAAAATTAACTACTAATTTCATGAGATATATGGGAACCAATAGGCCAAAGCAAACTCACCACTCATATAGATACAATTAAAAATACTCTTTTAAGAAATAAAAAAGTAGTTAAATAAGTGGAGGAATTTTCACTGCTCATTCCTGGCCTTTGCCAATATAATAATAATAAAAAAAAAGACAGTACTGCCTAAGATAAATGATAGCCTTAGTGCTATACCAATTAAACTACTAAAGGAGGATACTTTATAGAGCTAGACAAAATAATAAAATTCACTTTTAGAAACAAAAGATCTCAAATCTAAAGAGAAATAATGAAAAAAAGTAGGAATGAGTGGGAGAAATAGCACTTTCAGGTGTCAAATTACACTACAAATCAGCAATTATAAAAAATTATTTAGTACTGTATAAAAAACAGAAAAACACATCAGTGAAATAGTTAAGGAAGAATCGGGAACAAATTAATTAAATAATTAATTGCTAGCTAAGCCTAAGAACATAAATTTCTTATGAAAAAAGTCTCTCTAGCAATAAGTTCTGGGAAAATTAGAAAATATTGTGGCAGAAATTAAATGTAGTCTATCATCTTATACCATATACCCCAATA